GCAGAAGCTGATTTGCAATAAGTTGTACTGCAAGGTCAAAACAATTGATAGAACAGTACAGTGTTCGTAAACAACTAGTAATTTTATGAGAAACTGTCTGGACATGATTTTTGAATGATACATCTTGTAGCTGCCGCAGTTAGATGTGGTTATTCATTGTCATTTGTTTGATTTAACTGTGGAAATATTTAATTTAATTTATTTGTTGATTTGACGCCACCTGCTGGCTGGATTGAAATTTGACACTGGAAGGTGCGCGCGAGTGAGGGGAGCGAATAATTAATTGACACGAAGCACGGAGAAGCGACCAGAAGAAGCTCACATCGGATAAAGAAAAGTGGACTTAGACTGAAATTGCTTGTGAATATTAAGTGGATAGGCGCACACGGTGTGTTTGTATATTTATCTGTATTTGCATTAATATCTGAGTTATAATTTTATGTTTCTTAAATTAATATTTGTGTTTATTGTTGTTCATTTCACCGTAGTTTTTCACGGTGTTTGCTGGTAACAAGAAAATAAAAAAACCTGTTGAACATCAGTTGGAGCATGGCGTTTTCTTCCACAAAACAAAATATCCTTCATGAGCAGTTACAATCTGGCTCAATCCAAACTTCTAAGCATTTTAATTTCTCAGTGGAAAGTACCGTAAATCCTCTAATACAGGCTGGTATTCAATTAAAGGCCGGGTCTCCAATATTGGCCGGTGTCGGAGTCAGCAGAGGTGAATAATGGCCAGTCTCTTAATGTGGCCGGGTGGAATGTGGTAACAAGCAAGTATGAGCATCTCAGCGGCAGGGTTATAGTCCCCAAATCAACCAGCAGGAGGCAATAGAGGTTCACACAGACCTTTATTAGGCTTTTTCTTCAACGCTTTGTAACGCTGCAGACACGATCCTCTATCACGCTCCTACCACACAGAGTCACGGTGTCAGTCAACCGGGGGGGGGGGGGGGGGGGGGGGGGGGGGGGGGGGGGGGGGGGGGACGCGCTGTGCCAGACCATAGGTACTGACACGCGATCGTTCATGTCGGTTCATTTCCTTTAATGTTTTCTGTCTTTTATTTGCGCCTGATGTGGAGCGGGGGGCTTCACCTTGTCCTCCGACGCACTGATCACTGATACGGCCGCCAAACAGCGAGCGCTCCGCTGTTTTTGCGGTCAGTAGATCTTTTAGAACTGCAGTTCAAAGATAACTCATGAGGTGAATATATATGAACCCATGTAGCAGTTTTTCTTTAGGATTGAGAGGAGATGCAGGAAGATAATAAACAGGCAGGACAGAAAAATAGTCAAATAAAAACAAGTTAGTTTTTGTACCTACTGGTTGCAACAAACAGACATCATTGAAGGTAATCAGAAGTGAGGAACAGAAAATGAAATAATTATTTTAATGTTTAGAGCAGCAGGAACTCCGAGAGGCTGTAGGCGCATCAGTGAGTTTGCGGCCGCTGCGCAGGGGGAGGGAGGAGAGGGCTGAAGCAGGGGGAGGGGGGAGAGGGCTGAAGCAGAAACTACCATTGTTAAAAGAAATGGAGCGGGCGGTGCAGCTGGGCGTCTGAAGCTTCTGCGCCGTTCGTCCCATCCTCTGGCGGAACGGCCGAAGTGCGAGGCTGACCGAGGGTGGACCAGGTCTCGCACTGTAGCCGATAGTTCGGCCATCTTCTGAGCCCTCTCAATGACGCCCCTAAGATGGGGACCAAACAGAACATCAGTGGTGATGGGGCCGTCCAGCATCTCCCTTTGCAGATGTTCCGGAATGGAGGGCAGGGCCTTGAGCCAGGTCGCTCGCTGGATGACGGTCTGCCAGGCAGAGATGCGAGCAGAACCGGTGAGCACAGCAGCACACAAATTGAGGATAGGATCAGCAGTCTTAGTAATGACGGCTTTCGACTCCTCGGGAGCTTCCAGCTCCTCCATCATCTTTTAGACGCCGAAGGCAAGAAGGGCGATGTTATTCCCTGCAGCGCCGGTCTGAAAGGCACACTGATGTGTGCGGTCGGTGAGCCGCGTCAGCAGCTGGTCATGTTTTGAAGCGGGAACAGCTCGCGTGCCAGTAAGGTGGTTCTTGGCGCCCAACAGCGAAGCCAAGTCCGGCTCTAGCGGAGGAACAGATGGCCAGCCTTGGTCGGAAAACCCCTCGACCTTGGTGATGGGCGCATACGTGGAGACTGGCGCCTTGAGCTTGGCAGGCTCGGAGAAGGCGGCAGACCAGCAGCTCATAGCAGCGGGAAAGCGCGGCCAGAGGGGGTCTGGACAGCGTGTCTGAGTTGCCCCGAAAATTCCCGCCAAACCATCCGCTTCGGGCGGGGCCGGTTCTGGCACAGCTAGCCCCTTGCGGGCTGCTGCCGCAGAAATGATGGGGGGCAGCTCCTGGAGCAGTGCTCTTACTGCTGGCAGGGAGGAGCGAGAAGCCACTGGAGCAGAAGGACCCGCTGAGCGAAGCTCGTCGACCTCCGTTATGTCTAGGAGGGATGCCGCCTCGTCGTAGTTCTCGCTGTCGGTGACGTCATCCAGCCGGTTGAAGCCAGCCAGCTCCTGACCGGCGTTGAAGAAATCCAAAGCCTTGTCCAGCAGGTACGAGTCAGCTACCAGAAATTCTTCGTCGGCGGCGGGAGTGAAGTACTCGACCCGGCGAATCTTCTCTGCCACGGGCAGAGCGGCACAGAACGGGCACGAGGCCTGCGGGGTCAAGGCCAGGCCAGCGTGGTGAGCCCCGAGACAGACCTCACACTTAGCGTGCAGGTCGCCGCTGGAAATGAAGCCCGTCTGGCAGGTCGGGCAGGGTCTGGCGTCACTGGACATGGCTGGTATGTCGTCTTCTGGGTAATTTACTCTTCCAGGGATAATATTGCTCTTTAAGGAAGCTCTCAAGCTTGGCATGAAGAGAAAAAGGAGGTGAGCAGTGGGGTCACTGCGGTTATATACCACGAGGGGGCCCACTATTGGTGGGCGTACATTTTAGCTCTTCATGATTGGCTGATGCGGAGATCATCTTTCCAATAGCAGCTCGCTTAAGGGCTAAGACTAGACGAAATAGAACTCCTCTGACAACCCCATGCATATTAGATTCATGCAGATTAAACGAGACATACTGCGATCATTGGTGAAGAAACGATTCCGGTGCTCATTGTTCCCATGATGTTCATGATGAGACAAAGTAGCAAAGAAGAGAAATTAATAAAAGGTCTGCACCCGTCAAAAATCTCTTGCTGATTTATTTGAAAGTCAAAGGGCACAGGTAGCAGTTTTTCTTTAGGATTGAGAGGAGATGCAGGATAATAGACAGAGACAGGACAGAAAAATAGTCAAATAAAAAAACAGTTTGTTTTTGTACCTGGTGGTTGCAACAAACAGACACCATTGAAGGTGATCATTGCCACAGAAGTGATGAACAGAAAATTAAATTATTCTTTCAATGTTTAGAGCAGCGGGGAACTCTGAGAGCCTACAGGCGCACCACTGAGTTTGAGGCTGCTGCGCAGGGGGAGGGGGAGAGGGCTGAAGCAGGGGAACAATAAAGATGCAAAAACTACCATTGTTAAAAGAAATGTGTGTTAACTTTAAAAATGTGGGCACAACTTTTAGTCACTTGTCAAAAGCTCCAGTGGAAACTATCCCTTGTTTTGAGAGCGCTACTTAAAGACATTGGATTTTCTAGAAAATCCCAAAAACTTTTTTCAGCTGAGATTTTATTGCTGTTTTACACGTGACATTCAAAAACTGTTTGCCTTGACCAATTACTTTAAGGTGCACTTGTCCTATGGTACAGGGTTTTTAATGGGCCACACTTAGAACCTTGATATTGTAATTTTAAAGTGCTTTATTGCTTTACACTCTTATCACAAATTGTAGAAGTTTTGTTTATTAAAGCTTCTTGACTATACATGCAGTCAAACAATTTAACTGTGCATTAATTCATTACAGTCACAATAAACAATTTTTGTCACTTCATTATATGAAAATATTCATTAAAAATTCATCATGGATGGGACAGATGTTATAGAGCAAATTGCAGGTCAATTTTTTTTCTAATTCATATTTAATTTTAAAATTCATAACATTGCAGTTTTTCAAGTAAAAAGTGGCCTTTCTCAGCAAGTTTTCTAAAAATGCTCTGTTTTTCTAAATCTTAACCACTGACGTAACCAAAGAAGGCAGGCACTGCCTCAGCTCATCGTAGAGAGTGTGTAGTTTTATGGTAGAGAGGTTGTGTTATTGAGTCAGTGTGTGTGTACTAGTTTTGGATCGTGTTCATTTTGATAAACCATTGTTTGAGAAGGCTGTACAAACTCCAGCCTGCCTGTACATCGAGTCCACGGGTTTACAAATAAGAAACAATGCCTCTATCTTCATGCCTGGGGGTGTTTTGTGCAGCTGAAAAGACGGGACTTCTTTAGCCCACTTCGGTCGATACCGGGACAGGGAGGTCCGCGCTGGCTGAGACCCTTGGCGGGGTTTCAAAAATTAAATGCAGATTGGATTCGGTTTGTAAAAATTTTTACTTCAGTTCGACCTGCTTAAATTTTTTATTTTGTCATAAAAAACAATTAGTATTTTATTTAAACTATCTTCAGCTTTATTCATTTTATGAGAGTTTTTGATTCATTGGTTGGGAAATTAATCAGAACAGAACAGAACAGAACAATTACTTTAAAGTATATATAATATATAATGCTGTTTAAAGGAAATGCTCCTTAAATGTCAATAGTTTTTGGAAGTATTTGTTCATTTATGATCTAATTTCTGAACACTATGGACAAACTGGCATTGCTGCATAGATTTCAGGTAGGGTCTGGGACTGAACAGAAACATATTAGCGATTTCTGTGTGTTTAAAATGTTATATTACTGAACCTTTCTACAAAAAATGCCATCAGGAGCCGCTGTTTAGATTAAACAAACCCCACCTCCTATTTACTAGATGATGTATTCAACCAATCACAGGCGGGAGATGGAGCAGGAAAATTAGCCTCAAGCTTGTATAAAGAAGTCTCCGTAGCGCTCAGCGTTACTGTCGTTTGATTTTGCGATCGTAAAATGCCTGAACCTGCCAAGTCTGCGCCCAAGAAGGGCTCCAAGAAAGCGGTGACCAAAACCGCTGGCAAGGGAGGAAAGAAGAGGAAGAGGACCAGGAAGGAGAGCTATGCCATCTACGTGTACAAGGTGCTGAAGCAGGTCCACCCCGACACCGGCATCTCGTCCAAGGCCATGAGCATCATGAACTCGTTCGTTAACGACATTTTTGAACGCATCGCTTCTGAGGCTTCTCGTCTGGCGCACTACAACAAGCGCTCCACCATTACCTCCAGGGAGATTCAGACCGCTGTCCGCCTCCTGCTGCCTGGTGAGCTGGCTAAGCACGCCGTTTCTGAGGGCACCAAGGCTGTTACCAAGTACACCAGCTCCAAGTAAACTCCTGGTTAACGTCACGAACCCAAAGGCTCTTTTAAGAGCCACCCACATTTTCTAATGAGAAATAATCCTAGTATCAAACAGTGTAGGGAGTAACGCGGTACAAAAGTAATTAACTACTGTAATGCATTGCTTTTTGCTGTAATGTGGTAATGTAAGGCATTACAGGGAAAGAAAATGGTAATATTTACTCGGTACAATTGTCTGTAACGCAGTAATTACAACGCATTCTTAAACCCAGAATCAAGATGCGGGTTTCCTAAAAATTCAAATTGCGGGAAGCCTGAAAAAAGATCCAGTATCCACATATATGGCGTCATTTATGGACTCAGCTTTGCGGGCATTCTATGAGCAGAGAGGACGCAGCGGTAATGGCTCAAATACTCCAGCTGCGTCCTACGCGCGGCCGCTGTTATATTCACAAAATCGCTCCACCAAAACAAAGTAATTCGTTTGCGATCGTTTATATCTGCCCATATTCTCCGGTACTTCATGTAATTTTTAGCTGAGTTCATAATCTGTGCGCCGGTGATTTCAAATCCTTGCTGCTGGAGCGCAGCGCGAAGCTTTTTTTATTTATTTTTGTGTTCGGTAGATCCCTTTGGCTGATTAGTAAGAAACTAGGAAATCTAGTTTACAGTTTTTCTAGAAGACGGAGAAAACATGCAGCATGCAGGAAGTTTAGAGAGAAAGGGCAGGATATTATTCACATAAAATCAAGAACACAAAACAAAGTGCTTGAAAAGAAAAAAAGTAGGTAGATTTATCCCCAATACACATTTTTACCAGTGAAAAGCAATAATTTATAAGCATTTAATATTTATACATGTGATAGAATCAGATCACCCCAGAAGTCAGTCCCACATCCAGGGCCGTATCAAGGCATTTGGGGACCAAGGCAAATATAGGCTTGGAGCCCCCATCACCTCACTCCCTGCTCCGTTAATATAAGATGGCAGCGTGCTGAGAGTACAGATTGTTGTTGCTTTTATTTAATAAACAATCATTTTAAAGCACTGTTATTATATCTGACTGTTTTAACAGCAATCCTAGCTCAGACGCCACATCACCTTCCACATATATGTCATGAGCTCACTGAGCGTCACATTACCAGATTCATATTGAAGTTGTTTTGGTGAAAGTAACTTAAAGTAATGCAAAAGTAGTGTAATGCCTTAAATTTCAAAATCAGTAATATTGTAATGTAATTAATTACTTTTAAATGAGGGTAACAAGTAATAAATAATGCATTACAGTTTTGAAGTAACTTGCCCAACACTGGTATCAAATGCCAACCCTAACCCTGTTAATTCAAGTTTGACGTGAAGTGAAAGGAAAATTGTCCTCAGTACTTTGTCAAGCGGTTATTAAGTGATTGTCACTGAAAATCCTGAAGCTGTGTTTTAAAACCAACTAGTTCCTGTGTCAGTGCAATATGTTCAAGATGTGGACTGAAAACCCTGGTATAACTGTCTTTTTCTAGATTATTAAATGTATTTTGTTGTTAATAATTTGGGTCTCTTGTACTTTAATGCATCACTCATTTCATGTATCTAATCACAATGCTTTTCCACTTGAATTGGACTAAATCCTTGATGTTGACTTGATTCTTTTTACTGAACTGACTCACCAAAACACATTTTTTTAAATTCATTTGAGTCAGTTGGTTGCCCACAGTGCAAAACAATCTACAGTATTCCTCAAACCTAGTGTAACACTCTGGATGAGCTGAATGTTACTATACTCGAGGGTCAAGGGTAGAGAGAGATCGAAGAAACGACACGGGGAAACGTCTTCATCAGAGCTGCAACCATAACTTTAACCGTTATTTTTTTCCCTGCTGACTCTCCACTGACCAAACAGCACCCTCTCGCGGGTGTATCACTCCGCCAGAGACATTCACCAGACACAAACAATAAATCTCATCCTACACTCTTCCCTCTCTTTAAATGAAATGTCCCCATTTCAGTCCTAGAAAAACCATAAATCTCATCCTAAAATGGAGGACCACAAAAAAAAAAAAAAAAAGAAAAAAGAATGCTGTCCAACAAGTCGGACATGTTCAGAAGAATAGAACCGGAGATAAAACAAGTTCTGGTTCGGAGCAAGAGTTTATAAAGAAGTTAGCTAGATCCAGCTTTTATTTTGGTAACCACCTTCCACTTATTGGCAAGCAAATTTGCATATTAGCTAAATATTTAAGTACCAGCTAAATATTTATTTTCCACGATGTTATTTAGCTCCACACTATATTTTATATTTTTGGGTCAGACTTAAATATTTATTTCCCAAATACTGATTTTGCAAACTAAATGTTTAGCTCCAAAATAAATATTTAGCTGGGATCTAAACATTTATTTTGGAAAATAAATATTTAATTTACAAATTAAATATTTAGTTCCAAAATAAATATTTAATTAGTAAATTAAATATTTAGTTAGTGAATTAAATATTTATTTTACAAACTAAATATTTAGATCAGACCTAAATATTTAGTTTACAAAAGAAATATTTAACTACAAATTAAATATTTAGCTTGCTAACTAAATATTTATTTGGAAACTTTAACATTTATAAATGTATGAATAACATGATGAAAATATGACTTTGAAAAAGTGAACTCCCAATTTTTTTTCTTATGATATGCTAAATAACCAAAAATATTGCTGTTAGATTATGACTGTTTGACTTTACAAATGGCACCCCATACATGTGGGGCATACAGAGCAAAACTGGTCAATATCAGATCTCATACTTGGCCAATAGCACATACTTAAAGCTTTACTAAGTGTGCGGTCAGCGCTGTAGTGACCAGAAGATGGATTTCCATGCAGCATATGTAAAGTCTCTGTAACAAGCTTTTGGGGTATCAAAACTTGAAGGACAGATGGCTTTCCTGGTGCAGTGTTAGCCTGCCTACAAAGTAGCCCATCTAAAATCATAAGTTTTGTAAACTGCCACCATAGCTTTCTTTGTAGCTTTCCTTTAACTTTTCTGAGATAAGGTCTTTTGTTCCCCTGTACCCATGTATACACTTCAGCAAGAACTGGATCTGCCGACTGTTCAGCCAAAATGTAACCTCTCTAGCTAGAAAATGTATGCGTCAGAATATCTCCATCTGCATCGTCAGGTTGAGGCGCAGAACTGTCTGTTTGTGATGTACAAACTTGAGCTGACGTGTTTATGTCCAATGGAAGCTGTAGTTCCAGGTTGACAGGAGCAGGAGGATCTTCTTCAGGGGGTTGTGAATTTTCCTCCGTATCTTCTGGGTTAGGGTCGGGATACGTGACATAGCATCTGCATTTCCGTGCTTCTGTCCCTACTTATGTATGATTGTCCACACATATGGATCCAGCTCCAATGTCCAACGAGCTCTCCATCCTGTCGGGTCATGTGTGCCACCCATTTTCCCGATGCTGAGTAGTGGACGATGATCAGTGATAATTGTGAAGGGGTTTGAACTTAAGTAATGCCGGAAATGTCTGACTGACCAGACAATAGCCCAGAACTCTTTATCATATGTGGACCATTTTCTTTCTGCATGGGTCAGAACATGGCTGTCATATGCAATGACTCGTTCCTCCCCCTTTTGGATCTGTGACAGTACCAAACCCACAGCACAATTGGAAACATCAGTACTGAGGATGAATGGCTGATGAAAGTTGGGAAAAGCCATAATAGGAGCACTGGTTAGTGCAGCTTTCAATGTTTGGAACGCAGCCGAACATTCATCAGTCCAGTCGAATGCCACATCTTTTTGTGTGAGTCTGTGCAAAGGATGAGCAACGAAGGCATATTTGTGTACAAATCGCCTGTAGTATGAACAGAGACCCAGAAAAGCTCTGACTTGAGAAGAAGAAGTGGGAATAGGTAACCCGGCAAGCAGCGGGGGAGGAGAAAATGCAACTCCAACCAATTTTTCAAGTCCCCGAGCATATTAAATCTGCTCTAAATATGAAAATAAAATATGCACTTTTCCAAACTGGACAAGAGTATTCTACACTAATGTAATCTGTAAAACATAGTTTGTGAATCTTGAATTAGCTTTTTTTAAAGTTCAAAATGGTAGATTTGAGCACAATCAGAACTGAGCTTTATAAACATTGTCATTAATCAATTCATAATGTTAATTGTTTATCTATTTATGGAAACCAATAATGCCGATTGAAGCTTAAGAATGTGCATGCAACCTAACTTTCGAGAAATCACTATCCAACAAAAGAAATGAATTCATACATAGAAGAACGCTTTATTGAATACATAGATGTGTTAGACAATAGAAATGTGTTAATGAATTAGTGATGTGTCGGTAGCGAACGAAACGGCTCTAAGAGCCGGCTCTTTGAAGTGAACGACGGGAGCCGGCTCGTCATTGGGAGCCGTCCCCTCCCCTCCCCTCCCCCCTGCCTTGGTGAAAGCTACAGGCGATTGGTCAACATGTGTAACTGTGTGTCCAGACTGTCCACACACAGAGCAGTAGGGGTGGGGAAGAGGGAGGATCATACTCATACAGACACACAGCAGAGCACATGCGAGTGGATGGAGACGAGAGGGAATGAGGAGGAGGAAAAAGACGAGCGAGAGAGAGGAGAGTGCGACGAAAACGGTGAGAAAATGAGCGCCAGCAGTAGGGAAGTGGAGATTTCTTAAGTGTTCAGTTATTAAATCTATAGAAATGATAAATATTTGATATACTGCTCTTTTTTTACATTATTAAATTATTTTACATATAGTTTAGCATGATTTTGGTCATAAATGTACTCTACGCAACAGAAAATCTGAGGAGCCACTTGGCCGGCTCTTTTTGGTGAGCTGAGCCAAAAGAATCGGCTCTCTAAAAAGAGCCGGAATTCCCATCACTATAATGAATCCTATTAAGACCACTTGATGGCGCTACAACAAAACAGGAAAAAAAGTCAGCAGATGCTCCTGTTCTCTAACACGTCCTTTAGTGTGACATAAAGGCTCTTGAGCCTCTATAGTATTACCATTCGATAAACTACAACTCTTATAGCCATGTCTGGAAGAGGCAAGGGAGGCAAGGGACTCGGAAAAGGAGGCGCCAAGCGTCATCGTAAGGTTCTCCGTGATAACATCCAGGGTATCACCAAGCCTGCCATCCGCCGTCTGGCTCGCCGTGGTGGAGTCAAACGTATCTCTGGTCTCATCTATGAGGAGACCCGCGGGGTTCTCAAGGTATTTCTGGAGAACGTCATCCGTGATGCAGTCACCTACACCGAGCATGCCAAGAGGAAGACTGTAACTGCCATGGATGTAGTGTACGCTCTGAAGAGGCAGGGACGCACTCTGTACGGCTTCGGAGGTTAAACTGTAATTCTGAGTCATACTAAAAAGGCCCTTTTCAGGGCCACTAACTTTTCAATAATGAGAAATTTTCCATTTGCTCAACGAAAATGCTTCTGGGGTAAACACTGTATTATAAAGATCTACACGTGAATATTGACTTAAGTATTAATTAACGTTGTCAAAGTGGAAATTTCAATTGTAGCTCCAATAAAAAATCCATCTGTGGTCCTCAAGTTTCTGCTCTTAAAAAGGAACATAAACTTTGGATGTTAATATCCAGTAACTGATACATTTTGACACATTAAAGATTTACAAATAAAAAATGAATAAAACAAACTTCAATTTGGAGTCTCAATTCAGTAAAACAAGTCAACGTCAAGTATTTATTCTTAGTCCAATTCACAGAAGTAGAAAAGCATTGACAACATGAAATGATCACAGAGATGCACTAAAGAACACGGGACAGAAACCGTAGCGTATCGGAGACACGCTGTGTTCAAAAAGTCTCCTCAGCTCTTCTGGTTGGCTGCCACCAGTTTCTCTCCACTCTGCAGAAACCTGTAGGAGGTTTGAGGCTAGTTCTCGCCAGTCGCCACTATTACTCGAGTATCTCCTCCAGAAACAAACTTGAACAAGGAGTGGTCGTGGTAAAACCGGAGGCAAGGCCAGAGCTAAGGCCAAGACCCGCTCCTCCCGTGCCGGGCTCCAGTGGGCCATGTTCATGGACGTAATTTTCACTTGAGAAGTGTGTGTGTGTGTGTGGGGGGGGGGGGGGGGGGGGCTTTACAGTATGCTCTAATGGGAAACAGGTTTCAACACAAACGGCTGTTTTCCGCTTGGTCTTAGAGCTCAACCAGTGTCAATTTAATATAGCGTAATATTGTTTTTGGATGGTAAAAAGTGCAGGGGTCAAAACTTGATTTTGGAAAAAGTGGGGGGGACATGTCCCCCCCCCCCCCCCCCCAAAAAAAAAATTACGTCCATGGCCTTGTTCACAGGCTGCTGCGTAAAGGTAACTATGCAGAGCGTGTCAGTGCAGGCGCCCCGGTCTACCTGGCTGCTGTGCTGGAGTATCTGACGGCTGAGATTCTCGAGCTGGCTAGAAACGCCGCCCGAGACAACAAGAAGACAAGGATCATCCCCCGTCACCTGCAGCTGGCTGTCCGCAACGACGAGGAGCTCAGCAAGCTGCTGGGTGGAGTCACCATTGCTCAGGGTGGTGTGCTGCCTAACATCCAGGCTGTGCTGCTGCCCAAGAAGACCGAGAAGCCCGCCAAGACCAAGTAAAGCTGCTGCTTCTCACCGCTACTAGCTCCAAAAACGGCTCTTTTAAGAGCCACACACTCCAAACAAAGAGCTTTCATCTTTGTTTGTTGTTCTGTTTAATATGCAGGATTAAATTTAAGAGTAGGTTCTAAATTATCATTTTTACTAATCACATACTTCCTATTTTTCTTGTCCACATCAATAATTACATTTATGAGATGCAAGTTCATTATGCAGCATCAAGAACTTAGGTTTATTAATTAAATGGCTTGTATCAAGGGTTGTTACAATGTTGCATATACAGTAATGTATAATTGTGCATTTCCTAAGCTAAAATGTTATAGTACTACGCTGTATACAGTTTTGGAAAGTTAAGGTTCGCCAAGGTGATTTCTAGTCACCATATTGCATCATATTTTAAACTATATACAGGTAAAGGAAAAAAAAGGTCAGCCAGATAACATATTTTAGTTTTGAGTGTCAACCTGTACTCCCCATCATGCATTAAATTGTTATAAAACTGTAAAATAAATTACGATTTTTAGCTGCATTACCAAGAACGGTTAAAGTTATTAATAAACTAATTCATTTTCCTTTCTCTAATGATGGTTAGATGACACAAATCCCACCTCCTATTTACCAGCTGATGTATTCAACCAATCACAGGCGGGAGATGGAGCAGGAAAATTAGCCTCAAGCTTGTATAAAGAAGTGTCCGTAGCGCTCAGCGTTACTGTCGTTTGATTTTGCGATCGTAAAATGCCTGAACCTGCCAAGTCTGCGCCCAAGAAGGGCTCCAAGAAAGCGGTGACCAAAACCGCTGGCAAGGGAGGAAAGAAGAGGAAGAGGACCAGGAAGGAGAGCTATGCCATCTACGTGTACAAGGTGCTGAAGCAGGTCCACCCCGACACCGGCATCTCGTCCAAGGCCATGAGCATTATGAACTCGTTCGTTAACGACATTTTTGAACGCATCGCTTCTGAGGCTTCTCGTCTGGCGCACTACAACAAGCGCTCCACCATCACCTCCAGGGAGATTCAGACCGCTGTCCGCCTCTTGCTGCCTGGTGAGCTGGCTAAGCACGCCGTTTCTGAGGGCACCAAGGCTGTTACCAAGTACACCAGCTCAAAGTAAACTGCTGGTTAACGTCACGAACCCAAAGGCTCTTTTAAGAGCCACCCACATTTTCTAATGAGAAATAATCCTGGCACCAATAATAAACAAGCTCGGTGTGAATTTGTACCGCTAATATTAGTTTTTCCAGTACTAAATCCTATGAACTGATAAAAGTATTGATGGGTCCAGCAACACCGGCGCAAGTGTCAAAACTCATGGAGCGAAACCTGTGTCGATGCGTGTGTTGCTCTAAGAAAAAGTCACGTGACCGAAACTGCTGCTGTGTCGGTCATTGCCAAGGCGCCAAACCGTGTTTACAAGGTATCGACTCCGCATCTGTCAACGGGATGAGTGCGCAGCCAGATCCTTTTGGGATGAGTCGCCGTGAAAAGAAGGAAATTACAATTTCAAAGATAGAACAAGACATCCCTCTCTCCATCAAGAAAATGGAGCCAGAGAGAAAAAGAAGTTTCTGCTGTGTGGGATAATTTTGATCTTTTAACTGCAAATAAGGTATGTTTTGGTCTTTCCTTGTTTCTGCGCATCTGTCAGAGTTGAAAACGGCAATGTGACTGACTCTCAGTGTAAATTATTTATTTAATTTTATTTAGGTTAAATGTCGCATCTGCTCAGTGGAGTTGTCTTATACAAATAAGAGCACTTGTGCAATGCTGAGACATTAGAGTCAAGCATGAAAACGAAGAGGAAGCAAATACACCAAGCACGGACACAGGTAGACCTATATAGACACTGGGCATGCTTTGTCACAACTGTTTTACTAATATGTTTTATTATTTTGAAATCTAGAATCTAGGAAGATTGCTCTGGACCAAGCAGTCCTGAATTTTATTATAAAGGACTGCCAACCCCTGAGCATTGTGGAGAGCGAGGCGTTCAGGGGGGTGATTCAGGTCCTTGATCCATCTTACGTTTTGCCAACCAGAAAGGTTTGTATACACAATGTCTCAGATAGCTGCTGTTACTCATGTAATATATACAGTGCTTAACAAATGTATTAGACCATCGTCTGATTTAAGGTTTATGACACAGCAAACAAAAAGAAACACTTGTGATTCAAACATCATGCATGCTTGAATAATTTCCGTCCAGTGTGTCAGCTCACATTTGGGTATAAAACTGGATTTCGTTTTAAATTCCTACCTTCTATTCAACAGGGCAAAACACAGAGAACTTCATAGCTGGATGTTTTTCTTGCTTTAATGACAGGTGGTCTAATGTGTTGAGTACTAGACTGATTTGATTTTGATTCATTTTCAGACGGTTAAGGAAATAATGGCCAAAAGACATGCGGAGGAACTCGAGCGAGTAAAAAGCGAAGTACAGCAAGCTGTGGAAGTGAGTATAACAGCTGACATGTGGACCTGCTTGAACATGGAGGCTTAGCTCTTACCTGTCACTACATCAATGATAATATGCAGTTGTGTACATCTGTGTTGGGAGTCAAACACTTTCCACAAAGTCACACTGCTGACAATCTGGCCCAAGTCAAAAGGGGCATGATGGATGACTGGGCCATAACAAATAAGGTAAGGTGTCTTGTGACCGACGCAGCACCAAACATGATAGCAGCAACACGAACTCTTCAAATTCGACATTCAATCTGCATTTTGCACACAAACTAAATTTAATAGTCAAAAAAAATCCTGTGATCAGATCCCTGAACTTTCATCCATAAGACACAAATCTAGGCAAATCGTATCATTCTTCAGGTCCAGCACCACAGCAAAAGAGAAGCTTGCTCAAGTGCAGCAACAGATGGGACGGCCCACCTTGAAACTTGTCACTGAGGTACCAACACGTTGGAACAGCACATATCAGATGCTGTCACAGCTACATGATGAGAAAGAACCAGCGTGGGTATCTCTTGCCTCTCCAGACAGATTTAACACACTCACAGCTGATGAGTTCAACATCTTAAGGGAAGCACTTCTTGTGCTGGCCCCTTTCCATCAGGCCACAGTGGAGTTGTCTGAGGAGAGGAGAGTTTTAGGATCAAAGGTCATCCCGATGATGAAAATGCTAAATTGTGCACTTGAGCGGAACTCTTTGCATCTACACACACAAGCAGCCACACATCTCCATGACCAACTTAGACGTCGCGTCACAGACACTGCTTCTAACCTGGAGTCATTAAGTGTGTTGACCCTATCAACACTTTTAGACCCCAGATTTAAAACACTCGGATTTCGTAGTTCCTCCAAGTGTAGTGAGGCTGTCAATCGCCTGAAAATGGAGTGTGCTGCAGTAATTGCTCACACAACATCTGAGCCACAGCTTGGACCTTCATTAGAGCAGTTACCCACTTCAGCCAAGTTGTTCAGTATTATCAGCTTATTTTCACATTTGTTTTGTTGCTAATGTGTATTAATACAGAGAAGACAAAAACTAAAACTTCTATGTATTTTTTATTATTTCAGATAATCTGTGGCACCAGCTTGATCAAGAGGTTGGCAGACAAACCACCAATGCAACAGCTGACTCGATGATTGAGGTCCAGTGCTACTTAGCAGAGGGAAACATTTCAAGACAAGAAAATCCATTAACATACTGAGGGAACCGGAAGACATCCTACCCAAACCTTTTCCACCTGGCTTTACAGTTTTTGTGTACCTCAGGTTCTTCTGTGCCCTGTTAATGCGTGTTTTCGAAAGCTGGTGAAATAGTGTCCAATAAACGCATTAGACTAAATGCTAAAACATTGGATAAACTGATTTTTCTGAATAAAAATTTATTTAAAAAAAACAACTTTTGAGTCAATGACACTGAAATGGGTAATATCACATTCACAACACTTTCCCTTTAATTGTCACTCGATATCATTCACAGAATATTTTGAGGTGTATATATTTTAAATTTAAGTTTAAAATAATACCATATGAAGTAGGCCTACAACAGCTTACAGTGTATACAAGGATGATTAGGTCATTGAATCAGTGTTTAATCTCCAGTAGGTTGCCTGCATTGATATTTAAAGTTCAGTAGGTGTCATTATAGAGCAAAACAGCAGCACGGTGTCAACACAATATCAATACTATTTGGGGAATGTGCTGCAACGCTTCATGAGGCTTCATCTACCCATCACTAGATAGAAGGAAATTAGGAAAGTTTCTGTGGCACTTAATGGGTCTTCTATTAGTAACAACATATGGCTGTTTTTAACAAGTGAGTCTTAACGCGTAGACTTCTTTAATCTTTATGATTCAGTGTTTACACCAAAGGCAATTTAAATTCATAAAGGAAAAGAAAAATTTCTCATTATTCAAAAGTTGGTGGCCCTGAAAAGGGCCTTTTTGTGTATGAAACAGAGTTACGTTTTAACCTCCGAAGCCGTACAGAGTGCGTCCCTGCCTCTTCAAAGCGTAAACTACATCCATGGCAGTTACGGTTTTCCTCTTGGCATGCTCGGTGTAGGTGACTGCATCACGGATGACGTTCTCCAGAAACACCTTGAGCACCCCGCGGGTCTCCTCATAGATGAGACCAGAGATACGTTTGACTCCACCACGGCGAGCCAGACGGCGGATGGCAGGCTTGGTGATACCCTGGATGTTATCACGGAGAACCTTACGATGACGCTTGGCGCCTCCTTTTCCGAGTCCCTTGCCTCCCTTGCCTCTTCCAGACATGGCTATAAGAGTTGTAATTTATCGAATGGTAATGCTGTAGAGGCTCCAGAGCCTTTATGTCACACTAAAGGACGTGTTAGAGAACAGGAGCATCTGCTGACTTTTTTCCTGTTTTGTTGTAGCGCCATCAAGTGGTCTGAATAGGATTCATGAACAAATTTCTATTGTCTAACACATCTATGTATTCAATATAAGCGTTCTTCTATGTATGAATTCATTTCTTTTGTTGGATAGTGATTTCTCGAAAGTTAGGTTGCATGCACATTCCTGAGCTTCAATTGTCATTATTGGTTTCCATAAATAGATAAACAATTAACTTTATGAATTAATAAATGACAATGTTTATATAGAAATAAAATGAAGTTTATCCTCCAAGCCTGTACATCAGTGAACTTCACCTGGTGGCTCGTGGGCTACGACCGGCCCACCGGAGACCTCTACCTGGCCCCTCAACACTTTGGGCCTAATGCTCTCCAATTGGGGGACAGCAAAATTCATGTCCCAAACAATTGTGTATGTTCTCACAACAAAAACTAAACAGTTTTAGATGCAACTGAGCCAATCAGCGCTGAGCAGCGTACGTCATGCACCATGATGCTGAGTTTCTTATAAACACGGTGACTGAAGCAGAGTTTGCTGTGGCTCTTTCCTCTGTTCTAAATGACATCAACATGTCTTTAAAACTATATGTCGATGCTTTAAAACCACAACAAGAAATTATTTATTTGGCAGACGCTTTTATTCAAAGCGACATACAATTTTTAACCTATAGGGCATGTTATCTCACTTTTATGAGATGACGGTTTTCATTGTTTTACTAGAAAAAACAACAAATAAAAAGTACATCTCATCTGCTCACAAAAACAGTTTGACTGAAAATGTTTAGGATGCAGAACAGCAGTGGCAACAAGTCGTCATTAATGATTCAGTCTCGGGTCTTTATATTGATCCAAACCATTCATAATGCTGATTTTGTCCACATACCGGTTCTCATAGTCTTTTTTTAACATATCCCTGTATATTCTGCATCCTTTTTTGGATTTTGACATGTTGTTTAGCGCTTCCTTTCTCCCAATTCTGCTTCTTCTCTGCAACGTACCGTTTGTTTTCACTCGTAAGGCCATCAACGTGTCTGCGCGCATTCCAGAATTCAATGCATAATCCCGTGTGATCCCAAGCCCTATTGCTTTTACGCTTTTTTTTCTACCACACATTTTTCTTCCCTTTGCCTCTCTATTAATGTGCGTGGACACAAAGCTCTGAACAGCCAGCCTCTTCACCTTGTGTGACTTGCCTGACAACTGTCAGGTCTGCAGTCTTTCCCATTGTGTAGTCTACAGAACTGAATTGAGACATTTAAAATATTTTTGCTGTGTTCTGATTTATTGAACTGATTAGTGTGTCACCAGTTCAATATTTAACCTTTTCACAATATTCTAATATTCTGTGATACTGAATTTGGAGTTTCATTCGTCAGATAAAGAAAAACATTTCAAGTATGTCAGTCTGTGTGTCATGAATTATCTAACATACAAGTTTCACTTTTTGAATGGAATTACTAAAATAAATCACATTTGTCATGATATTTTAACTTTATAACCTGCACCCGTATGTATGAGTACACCTAAATGTTCCAACTATTTGCTCCATTTGCTTTATTCTCCAGCAGAGGTTTGACAGGTAAAACAATTTCATGCTAGACTGATTTTTTGTTGTTTTAGTCTTCAGGCATTTTACTGACATTTGTCTCTGAGCACTTTGGATCTATCATTTATCAGAGCTGTGCATGAGAACCTGTTCACATGATTACACCCTGCTGGTAAAAAGACTCAGAGCCTCAAAATGACAAAACACATTCAAAATATTCAGAAAGAGGACCGTTTATTGTAGAAAATGAGGACAATGTTAAATATTGAAGGATTTCTCTAAATGCCTTTAAACATTTTATCTGTATTACATAGTCATGGTATGGAACAAATCCAGGAAATAAGCAAAAAGCATGAAAAACATTTCACTCAGCACAGAGACAAAGCTTTGTGTGAGTGCGCGTGTCATTTGACACAAACTGCATCAAATCACGAGGGCTGCTCTGGTTTTCTGTCCTTTGCAGTTATAAAACATCCTTGATGGCCATTCTGCATACGACTGCATCAAGCAGAGGCCCACATTTCTCCTCCTGAGGGGTGATTTTAAACAGCTGTAATGAGACATGCAGCTTAAAATGAGTTATTTGACAATAACATTTACATTTCAAAGTGAGAAATCATGTCAAGTGATATTCCTAGTCGCTGTCAGCAATTCCCAGGGCAGCTGTGCAACTTGTCACCACCGTGTGTGTGTGTGTATGATAGTACTGTCCTATGACTCAGAGATACGCTAGATTATTTATCATATATTTATAAAATAAATATGTGCAGAATTTAAGGACATTCTTGGATAATTTTACAGCATACAGTTTTAGCATTGTCCTGCTAAAACAAGAGAGGCTTTGCAGAAAAAGCACAAAAACTTTTATCAAATTTAACTTCTTCTAGATTTTATGACCTACTAACAGAAAGGTGAGTTTATCCATTTCATTTATTTATTTATTTTGTTTTTTTGAGGGGGTGGGCGTCCTAAAATGTAATTTTGCAATTTTTCAAGGGATAAAAAAAATGTTATTCCAATTAAACCTTGAAAAGCACAACAAAACAGTTTAAGTGTAAACTTTCTCTTGATTTTATGATGGAATAAATTATTGGAAAATATAGAATAATTGGTTCTCAGAAAAAATCACTTAATTGAAGCATAAATTGCAAGCTCAAAGAAACAGGAAAAACTGATATTTTTAAAAATTAAGTAATAACATCACTACTTTTATGGATTTGGACATAAAAATATAAACTAAGAGAGTGAGACATCCTTGAACACGAGTCACACCTTTTTGATCTTGTTGAAGTCAGACAGCGAGGACACATCATCCACTGGAAGCTGCTGTCCATCCACCATTGCGCTGATGTCTGACACAAACTGTACTTCATCACTCTTGTGAACCACAACCACTAGGATGGAGTGATCACCATCTGAGATGCCAAATCTTTTAAAAGCCTCTGAGATCTGATTTTAGAAAGAAGACAGAAACCTTGGCAATGATAATAGCGAAACAAAAGTCAGAAAAATTCTAGTTTTTGCCTGAATATTTTCATTGTGTCACTTACATTATTAGTAGGTGAGAGATTGAAGATTATTTCTGCGTTTAAAGTTTTTGTCTTCATTTTCCCAGTTGTCTGTAGATGGACAGCTTTGTTTGCAGCCACCAACACTTGGAAAGGACCAACTAGCTGTAAAAGTACAAAACAAGTCTAACAATTTACCCGTTACAAGGATAATTTTCCAAATGTAAGCATGTACAAATTTTATATAAGAAGCCACTTTAAATTTTGACACCAAACAATTACAGTAGACTCACCATCGTGGGGTTGACCAGAGCACCGTTTATGTTGCCCTCCATGGCTTTTCGTCTCAACTCTGCTGCATTTTTGACATCCTTATAAAGTATTTGTGTCACTCTGGTATCGGGATACAGTTCCAGCACACGAGTAAGGAGCATGTTGAAAAATATTGGACAAAATTAGGTGGTTTTATTCCATTTATGGCGCTGCTTGTCGTTAACGAACAACAAACACGCACAGCCGGAACTAAAATACAGAAACACGATATGGAACGAAATGTCGTAAACCGAGGAGTTTATGCAAAAAATAACATTAAGTTAAATTGTCTAAAAATTCAATTAAATTGAACTAATTATCACCATTCATCACGCTAAATGTTTTTTTAACGAATGTAGGGAATACTTGTAACACTGGCAAGTGGCGATCCCCAGTCGGACACATTTCCAAGGCGGACATACCGTTGTTGAAAACAAATACTTCCGTTTAGCATCACTGAACGAACTTAATGCCGTTTCTCTCCGCGTTTCTGTTGTGGATCAGCTTTAATCCTCGAATTAGATATTTATGCGCGATATAAAACAATACAATACTTAGTTTAGGAACAAACTAATTGTTAAATTTAGCTCCACCGTCCAACATGGAGAAATTTGAAGGGTACATCTTCACTGCCCTCTGCAGCACCAACTTCTTGATATCCTGTTTGGTGTTTTCTAAAATCACCCGAGAGCAGAGGGAGCCGTACATGGACGAGATCTTTCACATTCCGCAAGCTCAGAAATACTGCCATGGGAAATTTAACGAGGTAACATTATTTTTTTAACGCAGTTGTAGTCACGGAAACTGAGTAGATGATTAGGATTAGCCAACAGCTGGGCTTTTATTTTGTAATTTCACCAGTGATGTGGCAGCTTGTAGAGGTTTTAATCCCGTATTAGTTTTCAGCTTGGAACGTTTAATCTGGATCCAGAATATTTTTAGTGAACAAATGTTATTTTTTTAATGGTAGTTGAAATATATTTTTAATAATCTGATATGTTCAGTGAATGTATTAACATCTGCCTGTAATATGAAATGGTAACGTAAATTATTAAATCCAATTCTACAATTGTGAAAAAAAGAACCCCAAAAGATTTACTGAATGATCCAAACACAAAATTACTAAATATTTAAAATAACAAAACAAAGACTACATATAATTGCTGATCAATTTCAAATATACAACATGCTAAATATTGACAAAAAACATTGATTTACAACATGTTCAGATGTAAAAGAAAGCTATTACATTTATTAGACACAGCTATTAAATAGTGATGTTTTGGAGATCAGAAACAACTATTTAAGTTTTATAAATCCTGATTTAAACCAATCCCCACCTGACTAGCAAGTACAGAAATGTAGAGAAAGGTTTTGTATTTCTTGACAGCTGAGGCTGAGAGTCTCTTTGGTTTAACGTTTTTCTAATCTCATGTTGCTGACAAACCCTACAGTGGGACCCGATGATCACCACCCCACCAGGCCTTTACCTGATCTCCGTGGGCATCATAAAGCCTGTGGTGTGGCTTGCCGACCTGACGGGTGACATCGTATGTTCTGCTACTATGTTGCGCTTCATCAACCTGCATTTCAACTGTGGCAATCTCTATGTGATCTACCTGCTCATCTGCAAGCTGCACTTCAGGGAGAAGGTAAGATAGAATCAGTGGGATAAACAGGTTTGTGGTTTTTGCTCGTTCTCTAAAATCTCACTTCTGTTTCAGACAAGAACAACCTCTCGTCGAGTCCTATCAGCGCTGTCTCTGTCCACCTTCCCTGTGCTCTATTTCTTCAACTTTCTCTACTACACTGACGCCGGATCGACCTTCTTCATCCTCTTCGCGTACCTCATGATGCTCTACGGCTGCCACAAGTCCTCAGCGCTGCTCGGTGTCTGCTCCTTGCTGTTCCGTCAGACCAATATCATCTGGGTGGCTTTCTGCGCAGGCACGCTGGTGGCCGCCAAAATGGATGAAGCCTGGAGGACAGAGCACACAAAAAAGAGGGATGAGAAGTCTCTTCCCTCCCAAGTTCCACTGTCGTTTAGTGGAGCGAAGAAAGTAATATCCTTCGCTTTGGAGTTCTTCTGCTCGCCCAGTCACGTGAAGGCGGTGATGCTGGTGGCCTGGCCCTATGCGGCGGTGGGCGTCGGTTTTCTGGTGTTTGTGATTCTGAATGATGGGATAGTGGTTGGCGACAGGACGAGCCACGAAGCTTGCCTCAACTTCCCCCAGCTCTTCTATTTCTTCTCTTTCTCCCTCTTCTTCTCTCTCCCTGTATCGCTAAGTTACCATCGCATGCTCCGCTTCCTCCAGGCTCTGAGGAAACAGCCATACATCTTCCTCCTCATCATGGCCGTCTCTCTGCTCCTTGTGTGGAAGTTCACTTTTGTTCACAAGTACCTCCTCGCAGACAACCGCCACTTCCCCTTCTACGTATGGAAAAAGGTTTTCCAGAGGCACGAATTTGTGCGCTTCCTCCTTGTCCCCGCCTACGTCTTCGCCGGGTGGAACTTCCTGGACTCCTTTAAGTCGCGCTCTCTTCTCTGGATGCTGGCGTACCTCGTGTGCCTTGTGGCCGCCACAGTTCCCCAGAAGCTCCTGGAGTTCAGATACTTCATCGTTCCGTACCTGATGTATCGTCTGCATATGCCCCTCCCATCACTCCCTCGTCTCCTGCTGGAGTTCCTGCTGTACGCTGCCATAAACACTGTCACCATTTACATTTTTATCACCAAGACCTTCCAGTGGCCGGACAGCACGGCCACTCAGAGGTTCATGTGGTAAAGAGGAGCTTCAAACACGATGACCTATAAACCTTCTGCAGTTTCTTATGACTGTTTAGTTTTAAAAATCCTAACTCAAGATGAATAAGAGACCAAAAATGATCACAGCCATATTGTAAAAAGTCTTTTGTTTTCAGGATTCTGGAGTTCTTGATTACTTTTGCCGCTGAAGAACACTGATGGACTGAGTTCTTTGTAATAATAAGACTGTTTGATTTACTGTTTCTGATTTCTACTTGACCAGTTTGACAAAGCTATGAGGAGCTGCCGGGGGGGGGGGGGGGGGGGGGGGGGGGGGGGAACACAAACATTCAGTTCATTTCTTAGATTTGTTAAAATAATTTTGTTCTGTGATGTTCTTGTTTTATTTGATGTTTTCAAATCATTTTGCTGTTTTTTTAGGGGGTGTAATGCATTAGTGTTAAATCATTTATAGGTTTGTGACTTGTGATGAAATTCAGTCAAATGTTTTCGTGGACTGAGTTCTCTGTTAAGTTGATGGTTGCTTGTGTCAGACCTGTACATCTGTGTTCAATGTTCACATCTGTAAAGTCACTATTACCACCTGAGCAGTAGGAAAGCTTGTGTCTGGTTTTTGTTAGAGTTCCAGTCCATGTTCCTTTAGCACACTTCTCCTAAACGTCTGCATGCTGCTCAGTTCCCAGTATTTTCTGTGTATTTGTGTCTGTCCAGCAGCAGGTTTCTGCTTCCTTTGAATAAAGCCTCTTACAGTACAACAGGGACGAATGGGTATGCTGTTAACGTGGCAACATAGTTTTTAGCAAATTTTTCTAACAGGAATTTTTATCACATTACTAGTCTCTTATCTGGGTCCTGATGTCTTGATGCATTTTCATCTTGAGAACCCAGGTCTCAAAGGAAGTCTAATGTGTAATAAACTATTTCCAGTCTTTTCAGGGACCTGCTCTTTATGAATTTTGTCTGAAGTTTTTCCAGGAGAACTACTAAAGTTGACCACTAGGAGGCGCTACAGGATATGAATTAATGCTTCAAGAAGAGGCGAGCTGGAGACTGGAGCTCTGAAGTTTAGCTGGGATTAAAGCATTTAACCATAAAGGGAAAAGGGGCTCTGTGTTTAGTTGAAATTTTCAGAGAAAGATGCAATTTTAATCATAAACCGGACTGAGCTTACGTCATCAACCGTCCGTAATGATTTTTCTGATTACATAGTATCCTGACCCTCTCTCCAGGTGATAGACCTGACCCTGCTCTGCTGGCCATCTGGAGCAGGGCCAGATTAACACTTTGTTGTACCCTGGGCAACAATATTAAAGGGCCCCATCATCACGACCCAAGGATCACCATAATATGGTCACATACAGAATATATTACTGTAATATGCAATAAATATACCCAATACTTGAATGCCTGACATCACGTAACCCGCTTAGGGTAACTTTGACCCACCTCGTGTGGACTGACCAATGAGGAGAGGGTCTTAACTTGAGGCCCTCTCTTCATTGGTCAGTCTGCATGAGACTGACTCAACCGCTCTCAACTGACGTTCAAAGTCATAGGCAACGAAGCATCTCTGTGCAGCGCAAAAGCCCGGATGGACAGTTTAATACAGGGTGATCATATTTCCATTTCCAAAAAAAAGGACAGGGGATCTGTTCCCATGACGTCACTCTATGGCAACGCCACACAAACCACGTTGGGACCCATTTTTTTGTAAGAACTAAATTAATATCAGATTCTGCCAATAAAAGGGCTCTAAAACAATTCACATGTAAATATTTAGCATAGTTATTGCAAAATCTCATTTTTCTGCTTTAGTGCTGCAACAAGGTTTTATTAATAATAAATTATTATACCTTTTGTTTTACTACAGCATCGGTAAGCTTCCTGTGCACAGATTATTAAGGATGCTTGTTTCAGCTGTGAGATTAGACGATAGGATCAATGAAAACATAAGTTGTCACACACTCCATGGAAACTTTCAGAGAATCCACAAATAGTGGCTTTCAAATGGTTTTGTTACTTTTTGCAAGTTTAGAAAAGCAGCAGATGAGACAGCGTGCCTGATAAGTTAGTTTGTCATCTGATAATATTAGAACATGTCAGTCATGTCTGAGGGGCTTTTATAAACACTGTATAACTAATACTCCTGGACAGGGTATGAATTACACAAAGGCTTCTGGGGTGATGTAATATAGGTAAAACACTTTTTTTCCGGCTCCCCTGGATGTGTAGGATATACAGCTCCCCCATAATTCGATCCATGCTCCTGGATCAAAAGCCGGACATTTTCATCAAGAACCCCTAGTCCGGATTGCCCGAACAGAGAGTGAAAAGTGGACATGTCCGGGGAAAAGAGGACGTACGGTCATCCTAGTTTAATATAAAGCGGGAGATTACAGATACAGCATTTTGCTCATGCCCTTGCTGCCCTGGGCCCTTTAGAGTTCGTGGGCCCTGGGCAATTGCCCAGTTGCCCATATGGTTAATCTGGCCTTGACTGCATGAGGGGCATCTGGGCAGGGAAAAGTGTAAAAGACGAGCCAGGTCAGCGGTTTATTGGCCAGGAATCAACACTGATATTGACAGAATGGTTTCAGGATGTAGGACCTGCTGAAGTATCACATGACACAAACCAAAGAGCCGATGGTGCTCACCGATCTACCTGAAGAGCCTTGGCACAAGGTGGGGACTGATTTGTTTCATTTGGATGGAAGACATTACTTATTAGTGATTGACTATTATTCCAATTATCCGGAAGTGGTGGTCCTCCCCAATATTTCTGCTGTTACTGTCATTTCGTCTTTGAAATCCATTTTTGCCCGACAAGGGATCCCTCATGTTGTGTACAGTGACAATGGACCGTGTTACAGCTGCCAAGAGTTTCATGAGTTTGCTGTGGATTATGACTTCCTGCATATCACCTCGAGTCCACTGTTTCCTCAGTCGAATGGGAAGGCTGAGAAGGGGGTCCAAATCGTGAAACATCTTCTCAGGAAGGAGAAAGACAGCCATGCTGACCCCCATTTGGCTCTATTGAATTATAGAGCCTCACCACTTGAACATGGTGTGTCCCCTGCTGAACTTCTGATGGGACGAAGATTGAGGACCACTCTCCCACTCTGTGACGCCCATGGGGTACCCCAGGATCTGGGGTTCCAAAGAAGGTCTCTGCAGCTGAGACAGAAGAGGAACTATGACAAGTCAACTAGATCACTGGAGCCGCTGGTCCAGAATGATACGGTGAGAGTTGGGGATTCTGGTCGCTGGAGTAGGAGAGCTGCTGTTTTGGGGACAGTTGGTCCTAGATCCTATGTGGTCAGGACTGAAGATGGCCAGACATTGAGGCACATCCGTCGTGACTTGTTGAAGACACCAGAGACTCTTCAGGGACAGGACTGTAATGATGGTTCGTCTCTTGTTGTTGGGCCGAACGCGCAGCCTGGCTTGTCAGCAGGGATGGCTGTGCAATACAGTGTCTCGTCAGCAGAGGGAGCCATATCTGAGCCTGTATCCTGTGGGCTCAGGAGGACAACTCGCATCATTAAGCCTCCGGAGAGATTGAATCTTTAGTAGGGCATAAACTGAAGAAACAGCACAAGAACACAAGAAACAGCACAATATATATATATATATATTTTTTTTTGTGTGTGTGACAGAGGGGGATGTAGTGATACCTATGGTGGCTCTGCCCACAAGGGGGCAGTATTAGATAATCTATTTAAGGGTAGAGGTGAGGTCAGCTGGAGAATGAACACTATAAACATCTTTTGTGAAGAACCTGAAACTTGGTGCATACTTCCAGAAACATTACAGAAATGTTTGTCATTTTGACCAGGTTTGCTTTACAGAATGAGTAAAGGATGACCTGTTGCAGTATAGAAACCCAGTTCTTGACTTGACTTCAGAAAGTAATGAATTAATGTGAATGTCAAATGAAAGTGTGCTGTCAAGCCAGATACCCAGATACTTATAGGAACTGACAAGTTGTAGTTCTGTACCATCCAGGGAAACAATACTAGGGTGTAAAGTTGATTGCGATAAGTTACGGTTGAAGATCACAAACCTTGTTTTACTTGTGTTTAAATGAAGATGAAGGTTGGAGAAGGCATGTTGAAGACAATTAAAGTTGTGCTGCAAGGAGGACAAAGCTGTGTTCAAGGAAGAACTGCGTGGTGGCACAGTTGTTAGCACTGTTGCCTCGCAGCACGAAGGTCGCAGGTTCGAAACTTGGCTGTGGCCTTTCTGCGTGGAGTTGCGTGTTCTCCCCATGCATGCGTGGGTTTCCTCCGGGTACTCCGGTTTCCCCCACAGATCACAACATGCCCTATAGGTTATAAATTGTAAGTCGCTGTGGATAAAAGCATCTGCCAAATGAATAAACATAAACATAATACAGTGTCATTCGCAAATAAAGTATATGAAAACTGTCAACAGCATGAACAACGCTATTAATTTAGATTTCGAATAAGATTGGGCCCAGTATCAACCCTTGAGGAACGCCCATAGATGGAGGTAGAATTAACGACATGCATGTAAAAAATAAGACAATTGTTCAAGATTAATCTTACAAAAATATGGGATCTTTAATGGATGTGTTAATTATCTACAAAGGTTCAACCAATTCTGTTAGACATTGTTCAGTCTGGGTGCTTGTTTATTATTAAAAGGACTGCAGGTTCTTTTTCAAAGGTCAAGGTTAAGATAAAATGCTATTAAGTATTTTAAACCTTATTTCTGTTTGTGGTGAGTGAATTTGTACATCGATGTCAAACATAAAACTGAAAAAGTTATGTGCGCCTGTGCCACAAGCAGTACAATGAGTTAGCATGCGTCATGTTAAAAGTAGCCTAAAAACAACACGGTTTGGGTGTTTTGGCCGACACCTATCAGATTATGAATCAGTGTCATGAAAGATCTTCGGATAGAAAACTGAATGAATAAAGCACATTTGTTTTCTGTCTTACAATAAAATTATAGCCATATGTGGTGTAAACGTGTCTTAGGATACATTCATTTCTGTTTTGCTTTAGTCAAACTGGTATGTTTGTTAAATGTTGTTTTGTTAACGTTATGGTTATGACACTTGAGAACAAAGTTTCAGATAATAGTTTGGGTTAAAAAAGGAATCAAAATTATGTTTTAACAAAATTTCATTTGGGTTTTTATAGCACAAAAACACTGAGGAACAAGGAAGTAAAATCACCGTCTTGAAAATTTTTAATGTAAATGTGAGGAGTCATGAAAACTAATCATAAAAGAGCTTATTGTAAGAACTCTGCTAACAAAGCTGAAGGCAAATTATCTTAACTCATTTATGCATTTTTAAGATATCCTTAGTTTTGACTTGGGAATTTAATTAAGTGTTTAAATCTTTTAATCTTTTAGATTTTTATTACACCAAGCTAGCTGGAGATGGCAAATGAAATCTGAATGATTGAAAATGAGAACTCATGATCTACCGCTGAGTGAAATTGCTTGAATTTGAGAGTTTAGCCTTCTAGCTTTACCAGCTTCCTGCTTCTCATTTCAGCTTGCCGCAGCCTTGTTAATTTCTACTTTAGGGAAGGGTGAAAGCACACATTAGTCTTTCTTTACCACTGTGTGCTGGCATTAGGAAAATTACAGCTCAAGAGGGAAGCAATTGGATAGTTTAAGTGTTTGCTTTCTTTCCTGATGTAAATGCGCTTTCTTCTTGCATAATGCCTCATTAGTTCAAGGCTGATAGGGAAACCCAAAGTGACAGATTTCCACCTTCAACAAGAAAGCAAAAAGCCTGTTTGAGAAACAAAAGTGCTCAAACTGAGGAGCTAAGGTCAAACTAAAATTATATCCATTCAACCATTTGTCCAAGCAGAGGCAACAGATCCAGGAAGGACGCCCAAAATTTTTCTCTCCAGCAGCATTCTGGCTTCTCATGGAGCTGGAGAAGACATCTAACCCCTCTGATGTGTTCAGGACCTGCATGGTGGGTTTCACCCCAGAGAGATGTTCCCAGAGAACCTCCAGAGAAAGTCAACCATGGGCAGTAACTCTACTTTGATCCCCCGCCCCCAGGATGATTGAAGCTCCTCACCTTATCTGGAAGGTGGAGCCTGGTCCCTCCACAGAGGAAGCCCTTTCCAGCAGATTGTGTCCTGTATCTTGATCTTTCAGTCACAATCCAATATTGATGGGGGTAAGATTGCACTGTAGATGAGGGAAAACCAATTCTGGTCCGCTGTCCAGCATCTTCTTGTCGTTTCACTGCTCCAACACACCTGGTTTTAATTAGTGAGCAATTAACAAGCTTCTGCAGAGCTTCATGAGCTGCTGAAAAGCTACTTCAGTCATTTAAGTGTGCTGGTGCAAGGAAAAGACTAAAACTTGCATGACAGCAGATCTCCAGAACCAGGATTGGTTCTTTTTATTTTCTTGAACTGAAACCCCCCCAAAAATAATTTATAATAAGGCTGAAATACCTCTCACTATGTTATTTTTCCAGTTAATATTATTTCTCAACCTTCTTCAAAGTGTGCACAATTTCTGCCACTTCAATAAAGCAGCCAGTCACGACTTCACACTTTCTTAATGAGCTCTCTCGAATCCCAAACCAACTTCGTTGGCCGTTCACTGTAGTGCAGAAAAACTTTGCATTATTTTGCTACAGAAGAACAGGGAGGGCATTGCTCTGTGAACTCAGGGAAATTATTTTTAAAACTGGTAAAAAAATAAATTAAAGAAGGAACAAGTTCAGCTTAAAAGGTATGAAAAGTAAGAACAGAGGAGTAGATCTGGTAAAAATGCTTAAAAAGTGTCATGAAGCTAAGCTAACCAGGTGCACTGAGCGTGGTGATGACAAACATAAAACTCATCACAGGTGTGAATAATGACGTTTTCAATGTTTGCTCTTGTGCTGGACAAAAATAAGTCTTATTATATTTGAAATTATGAGAATTTGAGAATAACCTTATTTTCTGGCTTCTTTTTTGTAATTCAAGTTTTTATTGAACTTTTTTTTTTTGGGGGGGGGGGGGGGCATGTACATAACAGTCTCAATAGACACTAACATGTAGGAACAGAAGATACAGATATGGCAGTTGATTTTGGATACAGGTCCCAATCATATAACCCTTGCAGACATGCAATATCGGAATATAAGCAGTCACATAAAAAGCTTGATTTCACCCAGTCTTTATCTGTCTTTATAAAGTTCCAGAATCCATCCCAGTGAGAAATTCCCTCTCTGTTGTCTTCACGCAGTCTGCTGTGCATACATTCATACAATGCAGATCGGCGATTGCACAGACCCAATCCTTAACCTCTGGAAATTCTGCTGCTTTCCAGTGTCTTAAAATGATTTGACAGGCTGTTGTTAATCCCACTGAGATGATTGGAAAATCACATTTGTCTACATTAGGCAACTGAGATTTATCTCCTAATAAACACAGTTCTGGGTTAAAGGGGATGTCCGTTCCAAACCAGTTACTTAGGATCTTGACAATCTGAGTCCAGAAACATCTAATAGGAACACATTCCCAGATACAATGCATAAACGTCCCGATATTCTTTTTACATTTCCAACACAAATTGTCATCCACTAGCTTCCTTCTAAACAGTCTAGATGGTGTATAATAGTATCTGTGTAGTACATTATATTGCGTGAGTTTACTCTGCCCGGCAGAGTTTGCTCTTCTCCATGCTGAGCTGGTCAGGCTGAAAAATCTTATTAGCCTCCGGGAGTGCCAGACTGAGGAATTTACCACCCTGATTCTCCGAGCCACCTCGCCAGCTCAGCCCGAGCTTTGGCTGTCCTGTGGCAGCGGCACCACTCCAATCCAGTCAGCGGCACCGCCACTGTTCCAGTCAGTGGCACCGCCACCATTCCAGTCAGCGGCATTGCCACCAGCCCAGCCTGTCCAAGAGGCTCCGCCTTCAGTCAAGTCAGCATCACGTCCGGCACCGCCAGCCAAGTCGTCAGCTCAACGTCCGGCGCTGCCAGCCAAGGCAGCGGCTCCGCCTCCAGTCAAGTCTGCGCCTCCGGCGCTTCCACTCCAGTCTGTGCCTCCACTCAAGTCGGCGCCTCCAGTCACCGCCAGCCCCGTCGTTGCCCATCGTCTCCTGTGCCCCAGATGCCGGCACCCCTGACTCCTTCTTGGCCTGCGTTGGACGTCCGGTGCCTCCCTTTGGGGGTGGGGGGGTGGGGGGGTGAGGGACTGTCATGCCCTGTCCTGTCTCCCCATTCTGTTCAGTCCTGTGTCCATGTTAATTGCTCCCACCTGCCTCTCGTCTTCCAATCACTCCAGGTCCCAGCTCCTCATGTATTTAAACCCTCTCGTTCTTGTTTGTCTTGTCGGTTCATTGTTCCCTTGTCCTGCGTGCTCCTGAATAAAACCCCTTTAACGTTCCAGTCTGCCTGTTTCTTCCCCAGCGTGTGGATCCTCCCCTCCGGCTCCACTCACCTGCACGTCATGACACCACTCTTTCCAGTAAACAGGTTTCTTCCCTATGCAGACCCTGGGATTATACCATAATGAGGAGTATTTCTGCTGAGTATGTTTGAGGTTTAACAGTCTATGGACTCTGCTCCATACATCCTTTGAATGTAAAAGTATTGGATTGGTAATATTAGACCTTTGTGCTAGTATTTCTGAAGTTTGAAAAGGTAAACATACCTTGTCCTCCACCTCCATCCATGCTGGTTTATCTGTTATTGTTTGTCAATACCTTGCTATTTTTTGTCATCTCAAAGACTAAATAATACAATCTCAGGTCTGGCAGACCCAACCCTCCTTTCTCCCTATGTGTGCATTACTTCCTTAATTTCAGTCTTGTTTTTTTCCATTCCCTAAAAGATTTTTAATTACATGATCTTGTTGTATAAAGATGGCAGATGGAATTTTAATTGGCAACATCATTATAATATTAGTAAGTTGTGGGGCAACTATCATCTTTATAGTACTAATTTTTCCCATCAGACTCGATTTTAGTTTCGACCATTTATCAAGATTTGTTTTTATCTTTTGAAGCAGAGGGTTGAAGTTCAATGCTATTATCTCATCTATATCCTCAGAGAGGTTAATACCGAGATATTTCATTCCCCTACGCGTCCATTTAAATTAAAAATTTTCTACCATGGATGAAATGCATAGCTTAGAAAGAGGCATTGCCTCCGATTTGCTCCGATTAATGGAGTACCCAGAAAGTTTAGAAAAATATTGTATAGTATCCATTAAATGCGGTAGCGATTTTAGGGCTCAGATATAACTGCCAAAATGTTGTCCGCATATAACAGTCATTTATATTTGTTGCCCTCTACCCTTATTCCTTTTATTCTCTGGTGCGCTTTGATGGACACTGCTAGGACCTCCAAGAAAAGGATCAATGATAAGGGGCTCAGAGAGCATCCCTGTCTAGTCCCTCTAGTCAGGTTGAAGAAAGGGGAGACTATCCCATTTGTCATCACAGCAGCCTTAGGTTCCTTATATAACTTTGTAATCCATTTATAAAATTAGCAGTGAAACCAAAATGCGATAGAGTAGAGCAAAAATTGCCACTCCACCCTATCAAACGCCTTTTCAGCATCTAAAGATAGAGCAGCAATAGGAACATCTTGGGATTGACTGAGCTACATCAGATGTAGTAGGAGTCTGACATTGTCTGTCAACGTTCTATTTTTCATAAAACCAACTTGATCAGGATGTATGATATTTGGTAATACCAGTTGTAAATGTGTTGCCAATATCTTTGTGAGAATTTTGCAGTCAAGATTGAGCAGACTAATGGGTCTATAGCTCGAGGGATCAGTTGGATCTTTACCTGTTTTGGGGATTAGAGATATCACGGCTTCGTTAAAAGTTGGTGCTATGCAGCCCTTGTCAAACATCTCCTGGTATACCTCACGGAGTATTGGTGCAACAATATTTAGTGGGGCAGCAGTAGCTCAACAGGTTGAGCGGGTTGTCCAGGAATCTGAAGGTTGCAGGCTCGATCCCGGCTCTGGACAGAGAACTCTGCTGTTGTGTCCTTGGGCAAGACACTTAAACTTGCCTGCTGGTGGTGGTCGGAGGGACTGGTAGCGCCTGTGCTCGGCACTCTGTCAGTGCTCCCCAGGGCAGCTGTGGCTACTTGGTAGCTCATCACCATCAGTGGGTGAATGTGTGTGTGAATGGATGAATGATACACTGTAGTGTAAAGCGCTTTGGAGTCCTTACCCTGTGAGGTGCTATACAAGTGCGGGTCAGTATCTGCAAAGGTCTTAAAGTACTCTACAGAAGTCCATCATAACCTGGACATTTTCTATTTTTCATGGAGGCAATCGCCTACCTAATTTCAGCCTCTGTTATAGACAAGTCCAATCTCTCTGCTTCATGAAGTTTAAGCCTGGGAAGACCTGCACTAAGAAGGAACCGTTCTGTATTTTCTTTTGGTTTGTCCACTGAGATTGAGGATGTGCATAATTTTTTGTAATATTGCTGGAAGATATTATTTATGCCTTTAGCTGTAAAAATTTCTTCATCCCCCTGTTTTATAACTGGGATGGTATTATTATTTTTTCTTTTAATTGTCTAGCCAACAATTTTCCCATTTTCTCCCCTCCTTCATAGGAACTAGTTTTTAGCCTATACAAAGCATATTCTGCTTTCTTGTTATATATGTTGTGTATTTAAGCTTACATAGTTCCTGAAGTCTACTATCAGAAAAGCTTTTTGACAGTTCTAGTTATTTTCTTTTTATTTCCTCCTCTAATTCCTTAATCTTGTTGATGCTCTCTTTTTTCTTTTTAGCTGCACGCGCTATAAGATTTCTTCTAATGTATGCCTTAGAGGCCTCCCATACTGTGGTTATTTCTGCAGAACTACCAATATTGATTTCAAAAAAGACTTTCAAATCCTCCCCCACTGCCATTCTAAAAGATAAATCTGACATCAATCCAATGTTTAGTCTCCACCTTCCCCTTTTTTTCAACCTTTTGGCCCACCCAAAATAGTAGTTCAACAGGTGCTTGATCTGTAATAGAGATTGGTTTTATATTGCAATTTGCTACTTTATCTGCCAGAGAGTTGCTAAGTAAGATAAAATCTATCCTTGAAAATGTTTTATGACAATGTGAAAAGAAGGTGAAATCCTTTGTATTTGGGTTAGTCAGTCTCCATATACACACACACACACACACATATATATATATATATATATATATATATATATATATATATATATATATATATATATATATATATAT